CGTAATTACGCGAAAATAAAGTTCCCGCGAATAAAAAGTGATTTACAGCATTGAAATTATGAACCTTCTAAACAGAATTTTTATTTTTCAGTGTTTTTTGTACTACTGGCTTTCTGTGGGATATATATCCTTCTGATTGTGAAAGCGTCTGTGATAAAATACTGTGTTCCTTCCAGCAATAGTCTTACATCTGCTTGCAAATGGAAAATTAATTATGATGATCTGACTCAAGGATTTTTTAAAATGAGACAAAGAAATGGAAAATTTTATAAGGACACTGATATCACGAAACCGTGTTTGATTTCAACATTAACTTCAGAGATAAGTATGAATCTATCTATTTATCTATCTCATCTTGTGTGCCAATCTTCAAGCGAATCAATTATGTTTCCGCAAGTTCCTCTATATAAATTTCAGTTCGAGGAGAAAAATCATTCAATATTGTCATTCATTTTTTTGTAAACACCCTCAAACACTCCAATATATAAAAAATAATAATAATAAAATAAACGAATTAGATCATACACACGTGTAATCTTACATAACTATGTGCTTCGATAGATAACAGAACTCATTTTTTCAGAGGGCAATAGGACAGTGGATGTTAATCCTTGTGTTCTGGCAGATTGTCAGACTTTGAGTCTCCATGTTGAATATAACATTTTAGAATCGTGTAATATGAGGTATTGCAAGAAATCAAAGTGCGAACATGTCAATTGTCCAAAAGGAACTAACGCATCAAAATCAAATGTTCATATTATACAAGAGCCTTCTCATAGGGATGCTATACAGAACTGCACTTCTGTTGCGCTGTCTTCTGCCAGAAAAATGGGAATGGTCGGCGGATATTGGACACCAACAGACTGCAGACCAACACGTCGTGTTGCAATCATCATACCGTTTAGAGATAGAGAGGAACATCTTTGCATTCTTCTTAAGAATCTTATCCCGATTTTAATTGTTCAACAAACAGAATTTAGAATTTTCGTGATTGAGCAGGTGGGGTGATTTGCTCTATGTTTTGTTAAAGGTATCTCATGCAAGTACTCTTCAATAAAGGAAAAATTGGTTACGGCCTAATTGGTGCATCAAACCCCTTGTTTGATGTAAACAACAAAAACACAGTTAAATTGTAATAGTGTGTAGGTAGTTGAAAACGTAAAATTATGTTTTTTTTCAAAACCAGCACTTATTTTGATTCAAAGCTTAAACAAGGGCCATAAAGAGAGAGCGAAAGATGGACATTTTCACGAATTTTCCCAATTCAGGTTGAATTTTGTAAAATTTGAGTTTTTTTTCATTTCTGTAAACATAGGGCAGAATTTTGCTTATCTGTAATTTTTATACACAATATACCTATGATACGAAATGTAAAATTAATGGTAGATAGGCAATATTGTTCTCTGTTTTTGTAAACAAAATGTACCATTTAATTGAAGAAAATTTGCATGAAAATTATATTTTATTGATATATTTTCTGATTGTCCTCTGATTTCTGTGTATTCAAAAATTTAGAACCAATATCCATTTCATGGAAGGGATGACTAGTGGTTTTTTATATATTAGAATCATAAACGGTTGCATCATTCTCTAAGACACGCCAAACCAGGGGTGCAAAACGGGTCTATCTTGCCTATCTTGGCCTTTAAGAAAAACAGATTTTCATTAATGCAATATTATATTGTAGATTGGAAATACTACATTTAATAAAGGAAGACTTATGAATGCAGGTTTTCTTGAGGCAGGGAAAATGTTCGACTTTAACTGTGTTTTCTTCCATGACGTCGACCTTATTCCAGAAAATGATAGAAATTTGTATTATTGTGGTGACCAACCACGCCATCTGTCGGTGGCTATCGACGAAGATGGTTACAAGTAAGATTTTGAGTTTCTTTTTCATCAATATTTCAGTCTTATTATGATTCCACTGAAGTATATGTACAAGATATCGAACTGCATATAGTACAATGAAGTAATAATTTAGTAAAATAGCTTTTAAAACAATATTATATAGCAAATTTCTATTTAAAAATATTCTATAAGGATAAGATTTTCTCATAAATAAATGCTAAACATTCATCTGATTCTTACGAGTCAAACCTTCACCAAACTTAAATCCACATTACAGGGGCATGATTAAATACCAGTACAACTTACATAACCGCAACATTTAAAAACAAATTTAAAATACGATGAGTTCTTGAGACCCATTATTCACAAACGATCGGTGCTTGAAGAAAATGAAAACGATACCGTCAAGAAAAATGTTATTCAAATCTTTATATTTTTCACACTAAGCCTTTTACTCTCATTATTAACGTTCAATAAGCTAAAGCATTGACGTTATTTTCTAAATATTTTGTACTGTTCTTCACTTGAGTTTCGTTTAAATACATTTTATTCATTGAATTCTAGTTCTGTTCTTCACTTTACAAAATGATACAAACATGTTGTCACTGCAGGTAAAGGAAATTATATTCATGAGTTTTTGTTCCGTTGTTTCATGTCAATAAGAACTAATGTCAATACTGTGTTAGATATTTTATTATGCCCCCGGAACCTAAGATTGGTTGGGGGCTATAGTTTTAGCTCTGTTCGTCAAAGTGACGTTTATCTGTCTGTTTGTCTGATCTGTTTGTCCAAAATACTTGAACCTTGCCAATAACTTCTGACTGGTTGAAGCTATGGCTTTCGTACGGAAGCCCATTAGTGCCAACCTCTATATATAAAGGAAACGCAATATATATAAGCAAACCTCTATATATAAAGAAAATGCGATATATATAAACAGAACCTCGATATATATAAAGAAAATGCGATATATATATAAACAGAACCTCAATATATATAAAGAAAATGCGATATATATAAACAGAACCTCGATATATCTAAAGAGAAATGCGATATATATAAACAAAAACTCGATATATATAAAGAGAAATGCGATATATATAAAGGGAAAATTTTCCATCACGTGATCCGTATCCCACAGATCTCGATCGAATGATATACAGATTAACCCCAGGCAGGGGAGAAACCAGTAATACCACTCCTGTAATTACGTTCACTTCACTTCACAGAAGCAGCATAATGGTATGTATTATTTAATACTCTTTATCTATATTTCATCATGTTCATACACAATGTATCAATGAGTTGTACAACTTTGCAAAAGAGCGCATACATGTAATCTATTGAATAATTTAATGAAGTTTTTTCTGCTTATATATTTTTCATGTTTTAGGTGAGCTTTATTTTGACGACCTTCCTTGTTCTATGCTTTACAAAGAGAAACTTTGCTGTTTTACCTTTGGCTCCACAGTTAAGAAATTATGAGACTGAAGAGGAATTACTCAGTGCGTATATGTCAGAAGGATATTCTTACGATATAATACTGACGTTTCTGACCACGTATCATGGTTTTGAATGGAGTTTAAGGACTCTTAAAAGAAGGCTTAAATCATTTAACTTGTTTCGGAGGAAAAATCCAAGTCCGATAGGAACTGTAGAAGAAAAAATTAGTTTAGAGTTGAGTGGACCCAGCGGAAATGTGGGTTACAGAGAAATGTGGAAATTGTTGAAGTTTAAGTATCAGTTGTGTGTTTCTAAGAATACGGTAATGCGGCTATTACAAAGATTGAATCCCGAGGGAAGTGTAAGAAGAATCAGACGCCGTCTTCAAAGGCGTGTCTATGTAAGTAATGGCCCCAATTTTACATGGCATATTGATGGCTTTGACAAGTTAAAACCATATGGGTTTGCCATTCACGGTGCAATTGACGGATTTTCAAGACGAGTTCTTTGGTTAGAGGTGGCTGCATCTAACAGCGACCCGGCCGTAATTGGGGAATATTTTCTTAATTGTGTCGAACAATTGCAAGGATGTCCTAGAAATCTTCGAACAGACCCAGGCACTGAAAATGGTATTCTAGCTACAATTCAGACAATATTTACCAATGATCCTTCTAGTCATTTCTACGTGACGTCAGTAAGAAATCAAAGAATAGAAGCTTGGTGGAGTTATTTTAAAAGGAACAGAGCACAGTGGTGGATGGACTATTTTTCGGACATCTATGACTTTGGAATTTATAATCCAGATAATAAATTCCAACGTTCATGTTTTCAATACTGTTTCATGGACTTTATCCAAAGGCAGTTGAATGAAACTGCAATGGCATGGAATTGTCACAGAATAAGACCAAATACCGGGTCTTGTCCGGCTGGAATTCCAAACGAAATTTTTTTCCTACCAGAACTTTACTCTAAATGTGACTTTAAAAGGCCCGTCACTGCACAGGAAATCGAACATCTCCGACAAAACACGAAATCTAAGTCTATCTGTGACGATTCTGAAGTTTATGAATATCTTAACCTAGTAAAATCAAGAATTCATTGGAGAACTGCGACTGATGTTGAAAGCGCATTACAGAATTACCTTGAGTTAATGCACATATCTGGCGAGTAATACCTACATGTTGTTCAAGTTTTCATTTTTGCAATATAAATGTCTAAAGAAGTGACATATAAAACAATGAAAATAAAATCAATGAATGCAAATTAACATGGCTTTATTTGTCATACATGTAACACGTATTTGATAATGGCATAAACACGTAGAAATGCACCCTCTCCCTCTACATTCTTGTGGCTGACTGATATAGAGATTTCATGGAGCAATCTACTTTTCCCAGTCTAATTGAGCTTCTAAAATTTACAAGACTATAAATGATATATTTACATATCAAATTTATGCAAAGATGTACGTAAGTCTTAATAATAGATGTACACAAGAAAATAAAGACCATAATATGAGGACAGATTAAGTCAGATATTAGAATTGTATTAAGCGTAGATTTACCTAATAAACATGGTTTTAAAATGTAATTTTGATTAATGTAAAAAAAAAATACCCATAAAAAATGATTCAGAATTTTTTTTATCAGGAAAATTAATTTGAAATTTAGGCGTGTCTGTTCTCATGTAATGACCATGCAATTAAACTATGCCCGACCAAAATTTGGGGCATTTAAAATTCCGAATTCCATATTTTCCTTGAACATTTCAAAAGATGGATGAATTGGAATTTTCAATTCATTCCCACAGGTATTAGCAATGGGGAACTTTCCTCCCCCCTCCTCTTCGTGTAGAAACGACAGAACAGGAGAAGGACTGAGTCCGAGTGGCGGCACTCTGTTTTTTCCAGTTGCAAAAATCAATAAGTGCTCCAAAGTCACCACAGTGGCTCCCTCTGTAAAAGCAAATTATATGTAAATTTAAAAAATTGCATTTTCATATTTTTTTACTGGGAAGAAATAGTTTCAATATAATTTTCATTGAATAATTGGAAATAACCATTAAATACGTATACAATTTCTCTCTACAGAAAGTTATTTTTATAGAAAAATTAAACATACCCAGTACCCCCTGCATCTTGTAAAAAGTCCCGCCAATATCCAACCAGTCTGTCCTCGACTGTTCTCCGGTTACTTCCGGTGGGACTGACACATGGACGGAAAATATCCTCCATCGATATCGCCGTCAGTTTGATGTTGGTGAACATTAGGCAATCTCTAAAACTCTCTGGGTATGACTGAATGGTGGCCAGCAAACCAAGGGTTTGTAATCCAGACTTAAATCTAACCAGAAAAAAATAAATTTTATACTATTAGATACCTGCAAATGAATCGGAAACATAAAAAAATAATTACTAGTAGATTAATCCCTCGATTTTTTATTTTGCAGGGTTACTATAATTAATATATAAGTATAATAGATTTAAGTTAAAGTACAAAAGTAAAAAAAAAAAAAAAGAATCCCTGTCAAATGCCGTACGTGTCCTCTCAAGACAGTACTATTTGATCATATCTCTGATTAGTGGCACTTTGTCCTCGATCGATCGTACGTGATGGAAACATCCCGCTAAAGTCAAAGTGCTGCTGTTGGCTTCCATTGAACTTCTTAAATTGTTCAGCGTATCTGCTTGCAGTATCTGAAGAATCGTGATAAATGAATGGGTAAATAATTTAGCTTATTAAAATAGTATTAAACATTTTATATATATAAAAAATTAAAGGTATTATCTTACTATGAAATTTTAAATGCATTAAATTGTACGAAACTAAATTTTATACTATACCGAGTTGAGTGATTGTTTGAATTCAGATTCGGGGATATCGTCAATCGTAGGATGTACATTTTCCGGACCAAACACTAACATATCGAACAATAGTTTTGAAAAAAACATTGGAGGTGGACCTCCATGTACTAGATCAACGGCAACCATAACACCAGCCAGATAGTATTCGTCCCGTTGTATAGCTAGTGAAAAGATATTATATTAATGTTAGTACATGGACATTACTTTTATGTCATTAAATTGCTCTGTGAATATTATCATAATCTTTCTTACCATGGCTATTCAAGGTAAGAATCCTGGACGTCGTGGGACCTTCAAACAAAGTGCTGTTCTGTAGTGCATCCATTAGAAGACGGAGAAACTCGCGTCGTGGTCCGCCTTGGTCTACCGCCTCCTCTGACAATCCAGTATCATCAGTAAATTTAACGAGCAAGGTGTTGTTTGGTGCAAATGTGGACCTTCTAAAGCCCCTACAAGCCCCGTCCCAAACAATTCTCCTGTTTATGTTAAATCGAGAGATGTCATTTGATTGAATTTGCAGAGAAAGTTCCTGGAGAATTTCCACAGTTGATCGCGGGGGTTGAGAACTGAAAAAATAAGACCCTTTAGTTTTAAATTCATGATATTCCAAGCTTTATCAAAGTGTACTTTCTCGGTTTCTTAGTTTCAAATTATTGAATGAAATATGAGAATACTCCACCTGCAAGCCATATCCACTGTTTGCGTATTTTTTGCCTCAGAAGGACTTGGTGGATTAAGATCTTCTTCCTCATCTGAACCATCTGATATAATGGTAATATACTCGCTAAAATGTAAAGGAAAAAAAATCACGTTATTTATTCACTGTAAGTTCTTTTAACTTAATTTTCATTGAAACATGACTTAGTATCATAATAATTATTTTCTATTAGAGATTGAGTTTCTTTTGTAGTTTTAAATATGCCTAGAAATTGTCATGTAATTTTATTGCAGCACAGCCAAATCCTTCGCTAAAAATCTACTCATTTGGAATACTGAGACCCACTAAGCCCCACCTACATATGCCCTCCCCCCACTAATTTTATGGTACTGTAAGGTATTAGTTGTGTATAAAGACCTGTAGGTTGAGGGTTGCTCCATTCTGTCGTTTTCTTGTTTTATTACTCTCGTTTCTGCATCAAGTACTCGATTCTCTGGTTTTGGTGCTGGATTTACAGAATCTATATTTTGGGTCTCTCTTTCAGGTGCACGATTCCTTGATTTTGTAGCTGGCCTTTTACGTTTTAGTATTTCTGGTGTTCCGAGCTCCTCCCATGAATCATCACCTACCTTCAACCGAAAGTATACATATACATGTACATATGTATAAAAATATAAACAAAACTAGTGCTAATTGTAACGGGGACCGTTACAGATGTTCTCCAAACGCTCCCCAACTCCCTTTTGGTGCCATATTCCCTGTAAGCTTCATTAAATAGGACAAACTCTATGCATTTGAAATTTTAACAAGATTTACCCAGAAGTGAACCAAGTTCATTCAAATTTTAGCATTGCATGCGTGCGCATGTGAATGCATATGCGTCATGACCATATCATCATGTCTACACAATCTGTATATTTTAATACACTGAATATTAAAGTATTTAATCCAAAATTATAAAAAAAAAATACGCTCATTCAAGTGTATTTTTGATTTTACTCATATCACGTGCACGCACGTGCATACATGAGCATGGTGACCATACCCTCTTGTAGCAGTCCATTACATCTATCTATGTTCTAAATTCCACCCAGTTTGGTTGAAAACCAAGGGAGTTATAGCTGTTTAAAGTTTGAGCTAATCAGATTGCAGCGCACGTACACGCACGTGTATGCATGTGCATGGTGACCATACCTACTTGTAGAAGTCCATTATATCTATCTATATTCCAAATCCCATCCTGTTTGGTTTAAAACCAAGGGAGTTATAGCTGTTTAAAGTTTCAGCCAATCAGATTGCAGCGCACGTGCATGCACGTGTTTTCATGATAATTGCTTTATTTCATGTTGTAGGATATCATAATGCATGGCTATGTTCAAAATTTCAAAGGATTTCGTCAAAAAACAAGAAAGATATTGAGAATTTAGTATCAGCCAATCAGAGCGAAGCGCACGTGCATGCGCGTGAGATCTTGCTATTTTGACCATATCATATTGTCTATGCTACTAATATATCATCAGATTATGAGTTTCAAAGCATTTCATCCAAAAATAGAAAAGTTATGGCTATATCTATTATATTGGTCATTTCACGCGTTGCACGTGCACGCTCTTGCAAGCACGTGCGTGCAAAATGACCTTCATTCTGCAAATCTACATAACATGCCTACTAACCCTAAAAAGGTTTTACCTAAGTCGGATGTGTAGTTTACAAGATCACTCCCGGGCAAAAAAGTACCCAGGAAGAAGAAGAAGAAGAAGAAGAAGAAGAAGAAGAAGAAGAAAAATAATAATAACTAGAGCAAAGCTCGTTGCAAAGCAACGAGTAGGTCTTCCGTCCTGCTTGACCGGAAGCAGCTTTCATTTTTAACAAAAATGAGAAATAACGCCCAAAAATGCTTTGAATCCTCTAAAACTATGTTAATTAATGCAAAAATAAGCCATATTTGCTACTTCCGGTTTTACCGGAAGTGACGACAACGGACGGAAAATTAATTATTATGCCCCCAGAGACATATATTATTCAAATACTTGTCAAGAACGGCAAAAATACGCATTTTCCGACTACTTCCGGTTTGGCCCGAAGTGACGACACCGGACGTATTTTGACGATTTCAATAGATTCAGCTTGACATTTTGAACAACTTTGCTTCTTTGACGTATTACAAATTCTCAATACGTTTTGAGATATAAAGAAAATAATTTCGGCCCCTCTAGGCCCTTTATTTTAGGGGCCAGCCCTTTTTTCGACATATCATTTGAAAGATCTTGAAATTCTACACTTCTTTTGTTCTATATGTTATAACAAAATATTTCCAGGTAAAAAGATATTGTAGAAAAGTTGTTAAAAAATGTTCAATTCGCGATTGGAATATTTTCGGGCCATAGCGAGCGCCGACGTGCGGCACTTCCGATAAAAATGAAATACGTTATACATATCTATAGACTTTGGTCTATCATATCTGAAAGTTTCATGTTTCTATCTTGAGCCATTATTGAGAAAACTGCCGGACAAAATGACCCTCTAAAACTCACTAAATCGCAGAAAACTCCGAACCGGAAGTGACGTCATCAAATTAAGAAAAAACGCCTTAAGTTCATATAATTTGTCATCAATGCTGAAAGTTTCATGAAAATCCATCAACGCATTTACGAGAAATCGCCTGCACAAAATCGGTAAGAAGAAAAGTTGAAAAGAAACAACAGAATAATAAGAAGGTCTTCCGTTGAAACGGAAGACCTTAATAAGAAACAGAGTAATGTTATGGGTCAGAATAACCCTAAATGCCAGCAAAGATCAATCACACAGTTTAAACTTAACAATAATTTATTTACAGTAATATATAATAAGTATATGATACATAAAGTACAAACTTAGCAAGAATCTAAAAATACATACATCAGAGTGTCCGTTGCTGCACACAATGTCCCAGTGAAAATATATCCCATTTATATCTCAATAGTGCTTATACGACAAAGTATATTTATGCATCGAATTGACAGGGTATTTATACAGTAATATAAATCTAGAATATTCTAGAAATTGTAAATACATGATATTCCTGGAAAGCTCTGGACATGAATAAAGTTCAAGAATGTTCTAGAAAAAATGACCAAACATATTGACCACTCTGGAATGTTCAAGAAACTTAATGTTACTAATAATATACATGATGAAACATTTATACACATCTCACAACACCTCCCCCCTTAAAAAGTTTGAATGTCAATGAAAACTTATATTATTAAAACATAGGTACATTAATACAAAATCTAGTATGTTTACGATACTCTTGACAAGGCATCTGCTATAACATTGTCTTTGCCTTTGATATGTTTAATTGTTAAGTTGTATTCTTGTAACAACAAACTCCATCTAGTCAGTCTTTGATTCTTGTTTGACAATTTATGCAAAAATGTCAGGGGGTTGTGATCCGTATATACAAGAATTGGATGCAAAGTAACATTCAGATAAACATCAAAATGCTGTAAGGCTAACAACAAAGCAAGGCATTCCTTTTCAATGGTGGAATACTTTTGTTGACATTTTGTAAGTTTCTTTGAAAAATAAGAAACAACTCTATCTACCTTATCACTATGTTCTTGAAACAAAGCTGCCCCGATTCCAACATCACTAGCATCAACAGTAAGCTTGAACTGCTTAGAAAAATCTGGAGTTGACAGAACTGGATTGCTCATAAGGACAGCTTTGATTTTATGAAACGATTTTTCACAGTCCTTTGTCC